TAACCCCCAGACCTCCGAATGCGGCCTTATTTGGAGACAAGGTTGTTGCCAATAAAATTCGTTAAGATGGGGTCACCCAGGAGTAGTATGGGCCCTTTATCCAACATAGCCGGTGTTTGTATGAGACACAGACAGAGAAACAGGGAGACAGCCACGTGACGACCGAGGCAGAGAGCGAATGACGTATCTGCAAGCCCAGTAGGACCCAGGCTGCTGGTCAACTGCAGAAACTAGAAGAGTCCAGAGAGGCTTCTACCCTGTCGAGTTCAGAGGGAGCATGACCGCAACCTTGATTCCAGACTTCTGGCCTCCAGAACTGTAAGAAAACAGATGTCTGTTTTTTTAAGCCACCCAGTTTGTGGAACTATTTGGCCGCCCAGGGAATCCGATCGTCTGTAAGATACTTTCTATCTCTAAATTGCTCTGCTTTGGGGCTCTTCTGTGGTTAAGAGGGGACGGAAAAACACCAAGCCGTTTTCCCTGGAATATTCAGAAAATGAACACCCAAAGGAAGGGGGCTGGAGGGCCAAGGAAGGGGAAGGAAGACGGTGGGATCGCAGCCTTCAGCATGCGGCTTTGCACTCCACTGTTGTAGACGCAGGCTGCCGACTGTGGGCTTGGCCAGGTGAGTACTTCCCACAGTGCCTGACACACAGTGGGTCCTCAGAAAAGGTTGCTTTTCTGGATATACAAAGGAGAGGTTTGCTATGCACTCTGCTGCTGACTGCACGCCCCTGCCCAGTGCCATGGGGCTAATTTCCACTGCTTTTTTAGATTTCTGCCAAAGTGCCAGGATGAGAAGGCCTCCACTTGAAGAAACATTTATTCAGAATTTCTGTTCTACTCGATAACACAAATCTCACTTGGTTTGTATTGTGTTGTCTTACCCAGAGGAAAACTCAGGTAGCAGAAAACGAAAACAAACAAAAAAACCCATTTTGGCCTCCACAGCTGCCACCTCTCGCTCCAAAGGGGCATTTCTCATCCATTTTCTGGTGTTTAGAGGCTGTGGGAGTATGAAGTAAATTTCACACAGACATAAGGTGAGAGTACAGTGGTTTATTGTCCTGTGAAGAAATCTTCAAATCCATGCCCTCTCATTTACGCTAAAACAAGATAACTATTTGCACAGGATAAATCTGGATGGTTCTGTAAATCTTAAAATCTTAGTCCATGCAAATCAGAAGTCAGTGTGGCAGGAACACACAGGATCTCCAAAACGATCTGGAGGTGCATTGGTAAAGGTATTTATAGCTTGATTCTAAAAAATTACTTTTACCTAGTTCCCAAATGACTAAGAAACCAGTGTATCAATTGATTTATTTGAGCTTCTTTTAGAGATTGGATTCGTTTTCTGGGACTGCCATGAAAACGTGTCACAGACTTGAGTGGCTTAAACAAGAGAAATTTATTTTCTCATGGCTGCAGAGGCTGGAAGTCCAAGGGCAAGGTGTTGGCAGGGCCGGGCTCTCCTTGGCTTGCAGAAGGCTGTCTTTTCTCTGTGTCCTCACATGGGCTGTCTTCTGTGTGTGCGTCTCTGGAGTCTGTGTGTGTCCAAATTTCCTCTTCCTACAAGGACACCAGCCAGAGGCCTCTTAGCTTAATCCCTTCTTTAAGTGCTGTCTTACACCATTTTCTGTTGCTATAACTAAACACCTGACACTGGGTAATTTATAAAGAAAAGATATTTATTTTTTACAGTTCTGGAGGCTGGGAAGTCTAAAACATGGCCTTGCATGAGGTGAGGGCCTCACGCTTCTTTATAACATGATGGAAGGCATCACAGCACGGGAGGGTGAGAGTGTGCCAAGCCAGGTCGCTTTCTCTTTTTATAAAGCCACCAGGCCCATCATGGGGGCCCCACCTTGATGACTTTATATAATCCTAATTACCTCCCAAAGGCCCCACCTCTTACTACTGTTAACAATGGGGATTAAATTTCAACATGGAGATGGGGTATGGGGGCTCATGCCTGAAACCTAGCTCTATAGGAGCACAGGAGGAGGATCCCTTGAGCTCAGGAGTTTGAGACCAGCTTGAGCAATAGTGAGACCCCAACTCTACTAAGAATAGAAACAGCTGGGGCTGGGCACGGTGGCTCACGCCTCTAACCCTTGCACTCTGGGAGGCTGAGGTGGATGATTGCTTACGCTCAGGCGGCTGAGCAAGAGCAAAACTCCATCTCTACCTCTGGAGCAGAGGCACATGGAGGTGAACTTTGGCCCCACTAGCCTGTGCTCTGAATCAACCACACTCCCTGAGATCTAGGGTCTTTAAGACCTGGCCATCACCCCAGCTTTGGTGAACCGATGGGCATTAATGGGTTTCACACCTACACTCCTTTGCTCAGTGTGGTCACTCCACAGAGAACACCCTTCCCTTCACCTGCATCTGCCTGAAAAGCACCTGTTCAAGTCTCATGATCCAATCACTTCCGCCTCCACTGAAGCCTTTTCCAATTTCTACTTCCACCAAAACTCCCTTCAAATACTCTTTTTGCTTTCTCTATACTTCCCACATACCTACCAAATTAATAGCATGTGTTTTTTGTGTATTTCCCATCTATAATTATTTCTCGTCTAGTCTGTAAACTCCTTTAGATCAGGGACCGTGTCATTCATTTATATTTCCTCAGTCATGTGTATCTGATAGACAAGTGAATCTCAGTATGGGGAGGAAGCTGGACATGAATTGACTCTGCCACACTCCTCACAGCAGTCACCCAGCTGTACTTGAATGTCAGCAGTGATGGGAGTTCATTACGCCATGGGCACCCATGGTATGGTTCAGGCTGATAAATGCTAATGAATGAGGAAACAGATTGTTCATGTCTTCTCTGGGGATCTGGCTGTGTATTTCATTTGTATAAGATAATGAAGTTTTGCTTACATCAGAAAAGTAACATACACCTTAACTGTATTTTCATAGGATTAAAATAAATAAGCAAACACATTTCTAATTCTATGCTTGCTATTTATTCTTTTACCCATTTAATAAGTATTTATGGAGCGCCGAGAAAGTATAATACACTAAGTTGTTGAAATAAAGCCACATCTACTGCTCTCCAGGTGTTTATAATCTAATTGAAAAATCAAGACAAGACAATGAGTAGAGACAGTGTTAGAGACTATGTAAGACAATACATTCAATGCCAAAGGCGGGGACAGCCTCTGAGACCTAGAGAATCTGGGGAAGGAGAGGAGCAGAGAGTTGAGTTGGATTTTAAAAGATTGGGTTCAGATTTGGAGGGTGGTCTGCCTCAGGGAGGAAGAACAGTATTAGCAAAGGTAGAGGCAAGAAAGCACATGAGCGAGGATAGCGGACCAGGCATGGTGGTGCAGTAACAATTTGCGTTCTATATACTTTATCACATAATATGATAAAACTACACCTGTAATCCTAGCACTCCGGGAGGCCAAGGCAGGTGGATATCCCTGAACTCAGGCCTGAGCAAGAGTGAGACCCTGTCTCTACTAAAAATAGAAAAATGTGCCAGGCATTGTGGTGGGCACCCGTAGTCCAAGTTACTGGGGAGGCTGAGGCAAGAGAATCGCTTGAGCCAGGAGTCTGAAGTTGCTGTGAGTTATGATTTCACAGTACTCTACTGAGGACGACAGAGTGAGACTCTCTCTCTCTCAAAAAAAAAAAGGTAGGATCAAGACCTTCGGGAGTAGAAGACATATTAACAGATTGGTTAGTCCCATGATTTTTCAAACCACATTAAACCACAGAACTATTTAACCAAAAGATGTTAGATATGATATACAAAACACACAGAAGTAGAACTGAGCTGGGTGGATGAGCGTCTATCTAGTGGAACTCAGCCATGAAAGATAAGAGAGAGCCAGGTATAACCTTTGTAAGGGTGAGGTGAGTACAGGGTTTTGTTAACAGATATACCAAAGAGCAGAATTGGATAAAGGGAGAGATTCCATGCCCTGGGTGGATAAATGTCCGCTGTTACCCAATTCGTTTTTACCTTTAGTGCTATTCCAACTCAAATCCCCATGGAAGTTTCCAAGAACTTAATCTTTGAAGAGTCTACAAATAGGCGAATAACTCTAACATTTAACAATGCATTTGAAAACTGTAACAATTTGCCTTCTATATACTTTATAATATGATAAAACTTTCTAATACCATGTAATTATATTTTATAATAAAGAATCAGGAATATTATCTAAAGCCTAAAGATAAGGTTTATTATATCAGAATATTAAATATATGATAAAAAGGCCATCATAAAAAATCAAAGGGAAAGAAAGAAAATTGGATTTTTCTTTGGCAATAATTGATAGGACTGTTTTTCCCAGATGACCTATCAGCTATTCACCACCAACCTACACCAAAATAAGTTCCAGGTGATTTATGGTTTTAATATTTTTTTTGGTTTGTTTTTAATTTTTATTTGTCCAATCCCCTAAGTGGAACCAGACTAATATATTTTTAAATATAAAAAATAATAAAATAAAATTAAATAGGTAGTAAACATCTGGATAGAAAAATGACATTCTATCCTGGAAAATAGTTAAAGAAATCAAAAGTGAAGAGATTTTAATAGATACAATGTTAAATCGATCTAGTTCAAAAATAAAAATAAAATACCAACAGACATAAAAATGCAAAACATAAATATGATACAAAGTTAACCTTTTTATGTGAGTACATGAAGTAAATAAGAAACATCACTAGGCCAGATGCAGAGTGCTGTAATCCTAGCACTCTGGGAGGCCGAGGCAGGTGGACTGCCTGAGCTCACGGGTTCTGAGCCAGAGCAAGACCTTGTCTCTAAAAATAGCCAGGCATTATGGCAAGTGCCTGTAGTCCCAGCTACATGGGAGGCTGAGGCATGAAAACCACTTAAGCCCAAGAGTTGGAGGTTGCTGTGAGTTATGATGCCACCACACTCTACTGAGGGTGACAGTGAGACTCTGTCTCAAAAAAAAAAAAAAAAAAAGAAAAGAAAAGAAAAAGAAATATCACTAAGAACTTCTCTTTCAATGTTTATGTGGCCGGGGAGATACCATGATAACCAAGGTGGTTTCCCCAGGGCGAGGCTTATCCATTGTACTCCAGATGTGCTGACCCCTGAGATTTCCCCAAATGTGGGAAACTCCACTGCACATTTTGTGTTAGTGGGGGACTGTTTCTGCACTTTACCCAGGGGGAAAAAAAAAGAACTTCTCTTTCCCCCTAAATTTAGTAGATAATCCAGCAAATAAAATTAGTGAACCCATATGTGGAAAGATGATTAAATATATTAGTAATCAAAGAAATATAGAAAAACTTTTTTGTCATTCTACCCAATAGACCTTTTCTAAGCAAATATTATGAAATTCCAACTAGCCTAAAAATAAAAGGATTTTTTAGATGTCTATCTTAAAATTAAATTAACGCTGGCATGATGGCTCATGCCTATAATCCCAGCACTTTGGAAGGCTGAAATGGGAGGCTCACTTGAGCCCAGGAGTTGGAAGTTACGGTGAGCCATGATTGTGCCACTACACTCCAACCTGGATGACAGAGTGAGACCTTGCCTCTAAAATAATAATAATAATAATACTGCTAAGACACAAGAATAGCTCAGTGTACAAAGACATTTGGGGCAGTGTTATTTATAATAGCAAAAGCTAATATGTAAATGAGAGAAGAATGGAATATGCACTCAAGGGCAGATTATGCATTCACTTAAATTTGTTTAATACAAAAACCATGTAAAATGACTATGTGGAGTGGAGGCAAAGTGAAGGTGTGTCACCCTCACTATTCGCAACACTTAGCACAGTGCCTGGTCGGGAGTAGTGATTTAATACCTGGTAAGTGAATGATAACTGCACACACAAAGTACATTGGGTCTGTGTGAAATAAACCTACTTATAGAGAAAAAAATGAAGAGAAATGTAAATAATGGCAGGAGGTAGAAGCTATAATCCTACTGTTATATTTCTTTTTATTTTTTGAAAAAAATTGAAGCAAAGAGGTTATGTCCTAAATATTGTATGAAAAAAACTTATTATGTATCAAACTTTAACTAGGTGTCCTGTATTTTTATGTCCTAAATCTAGAACTTCTACTAGACAAATCTTAACTATAAGATTTGATTATAGTTAATGTTTTTTTGAGACAAAGTCTCATTTTGTCACCCTAGGTAGAGTGCCATGGTGTCATAGCACACAGCAACCTCAAACTCTTGGGCTCAAGTGATTCTCTTGCCTCAGCCTCCCAAGTAGATGGGACTACAGGTGCCTGCCACAACGCCAGGTTATTTTTAGAGATGGGGTCTGGCTCTGGCTCAGGCTGGTCTGGAACTCATGAGCTCAGGCAATCCACCCGCCTCAGCCTCCCAGAGTGCCAGGATTACAGGCGTGAGCCACCTGGCCTCTTATAGTTGATTTCTGAAGTCTGTTAAACAAAGCATTCTCCTTGTTGTGCGGTTTTTTCTTTTTCATATATATATTTGTGTGTATTTTTTCTGTATAGAAAAAGTACAGAGAGAAAAAAAAGACCCCAAATCCCACTACCAGAGATAAACACCACTCATATGTTGACATTCCATACATATATGCATATACACATTTATACATGTAGTTTTACATGCAAATGAAATCATACCACATAGGGTATCTTATAATCGTGCTCTTTGCTGTTTACGTTTTCCTTGACTGCCAATTTCACTGCCTGTTCCGAGGCCTAACTTCCATAAAATCCCATTTACTTACCATTCCTGGGGACCAGCAGTACGTGGGCCACATGTGCAGATGATTAACTAGTAGTTTGTTTGTTATTTTTATGGCAAACCACACAGCGCAGGCTCACAGAGGGGCCTCACCTGAGAAGGCAAGTCCAGAGCCTGCATCTCAGCCCTTCAGGAGTCTTGAATAAGGTACACAATTTTGTGAGAAATATGTTTATGCAGATGGGTATTTACTAAGCTTTGTTCCTTTCATCCCCCTTTACTAATCCTGTTCCTGAAACCTCCTGAAAAGCTATGAAAACAAGAGACAATGCAGAGACAAGGGAGAGAAGCTGCCCACACAGTGTAATCGTCACAGTCTGGTTCGATGTTTATTGGCACAGGGTTAAATGCACAAAGATTAGGAAGATCAAGAAAACTGTATCCCTGCCCAGAAGCAGCTTCAACTCACCATCTGAAGTGGACATTTACCTGGAGCCTACCACCCAGAAATATGACCATTAACATTTTGGTGGGTATCATTCCAGATACAATAATTATGATAGCAAACACTTACAGAGCTTATTTATTTATTTTAAGCAAGGCCCATCACTCCAGCCTTGCAGAGCTCTTATGCTGACTTGGTTCTAAGACCTTTGATAGTTTTTCATATAATTCTCAAAATAGTATTGCAAAGTGCAATTCTTATTCCTATTGTACAGATGAAGAAATTGAGACAAAGAAAGATTACTTAACTTGCCTTAAATTACACAGCTACAAAGTGGCAGGGCCAGAATTCAAACCCAATGTCCCCTGATAGATAATAGTGAGACCCTGTGATGGGGAGTCAGGTGGGGGATCACATTGTTTTGGAAACCAGATTTTGAAATAAATAGCATAGAACACTTGCCATGTGTCCATCAGTTCTCAGTGTTGTAAATATATTGGTTTGTTTTATCCACAAAGCCAGACTGTACTACTTTTTTCATCCAGACCACTGAAAGACCACAGTGACTTTAAGAACTTTAACACGGGGTAGACTGCCATGGCGACCGGCAGCTTGCCCTGCATTACATCATCAGAGCTTCTGTACCTTTAGGGACTTCTGCCTCACCTGAAAATCAAGATCGCTTAAATGGAGCTTTTCAAGCCAACTTTCCTATCCTCGCATTTCATGGTCATGCCTGAATGAGTTTATCTCCAGACCCATCTCCAGGAAGGCTCAGGCATGATTGATAACGCCCATGCACAGGTGAGCAACAGTCCCACATCTTTAGATGTATAATTGCATCTATACACCTGAAAAATGTGAACAATTTCGCTCCAAGCCATGAAGTGGTTTCACGTGAGTAGATTCTCAAGCGATGGGTGGGGGACTTATAAAAAACACGATTGTCAGCCTCAGGAGAAACGAGCATGCGCTCAAAGGGACGTGGCCCTGAGGGGCAACGCCGTGCAGACCTCTGGAACCCAGATATTCGTCCATCAGCTGCATTGATTGTGGCTCCGGGAAGGTAAATGTGCCTGAGCACAACTTTAATTTCCTCTCATCCTTTTTTTCCTCTTGGGCAAAATGAATCGTAAAGTTTACATTCATTTTAGTGCATGCATTTTAAATATATTCTATAAAACCATAGGCGTAATGAATTCAAGATGCCCACATCATAGCAATTCCACACACAAGCTGAGTTTTATGATTTGGATCCAGCCTTTTTAGGATTTTTCAATAGAAACAGACTTCAGACTCCAGGGAAATGAAAAGAAGGCTAATGATACGAAGTTTCAAATGACTGCTAACTTTCCGGCACCATTGTCCTGTTGCATGGAGGGAACCTACCAGAAGGGAAGGAGCCAAGTAAGTGTGTTCACGTTCCCCTACACAGGGCAAGGGACTCACATGGAAGAGGGACGCTGGCCTTCCTGGTCTCCCTCCCCCAGCCTAGGTGTGCCCTGCAGATTGGGACTGGTCACATGGCACATGCCCTGTGCACACTTCTGCATTTCTAGGCTAGCCCCACCTTGCAGGTGCCAGAGACACAAGTTCCTTGGTAAGGTCAGGTGGCCATGCAGCTGCACTCAGACTGGAGTGAGCTCAGAGAGACTCCAGCATGTACCTGAGCTCAGGTTCCTGGGTCAGTGATCACAACTCTTCATCTTAATCACCTACCCCATCTCCACCTGGGGGGGAGAGATGATGCCTCCACTGGCCAGGCAGGGGACAGTTCATGGAGTCCCACACAGATCGTAGGCTATCTGAGACCTATTCACGCACTGCAGAGTGGGCTTCAGTTACTCCTTTCAACAGCAGGACAGTCTGTCCAATACAGGGGAGGCTTTAAGAAGTGGGGGCAGGAAGGGGTCACATGTTCGGCCTTGCCTGCTCTACCGATTTTGCATAAATGCAGACCAGTTGTGCACCACTGTGGCCGCGACACATGCTTTTCACTCAGAATACTCACATGAAATGTAAGGATCTCTTGTTCCCTGTAATTTTAGACGAGGTTTCAAAACACAGAATCCAGGTTGAAACTGCCAGGCCAGCAGCGGGAGGTGGGCCGTCTTCGAAGCAGATGGAACAAAGGATTGGGTTCCCAAGTTCATATGGTAAGACAAAAGGTCAAGATGTCAACCCAGGACCACCCAGGGAAAATTAAATACAGATCAACTTTTTACGGCTTATGTTAACAGAGGGGAGATGGAGTTTTGATCCTTGGGAAACACAAACATCACCAACTTTACCATAACCACTGTTTCTCACACCCTACTCGAGGGTAACAAGAACTGCTAAGTAGCCACAAACACACCAGTGAGGTGGGAGCTTCTGTTTCTCTGTCATTCATTCCGTCCTCGGTGGGCTGGGAAGCAGCCGGCAAGACCAAAAGGAGACTTGGGGTTCCCCGAACACTGAGCGAAGAGGAAAACACGGGTTCTCTAGAGGTCAGCTTCCCTCCTCAACTCCAGATCTGGGGTCACAGGCCAACCTGGGATTGGGGGGCTGTCCTGCCACAGTGGTGTCACCATGGGGCTCCTACCCACCCTGGGATTACAGGTGGAATGAACATTTCTAACTCTCAACCCAAATCTTTTTTTAGCTGTTGTTATTTTTTTTAATTTATGATGAAAAACTTCAAGTGTACGTGAAGTACAGAGCATTCTGAACTTCCAGGTCGGACAATACCAAGATGGGCCACATTTCTTTATCTGACTCAGTTCTCTTTCTTCACAGCAAATTCTCAACATCATGTCACTTTAGCCCCTCATATGTCAGGAAGCATCTCTAAAAATAATAGACATTTTTCTTAGGTAATTATAATGTCATTGTCACTCATAAAAAAATTAACAGTAATTTAATTGCTCGATATTATCTAAATCAATGTCCATATGAGAGTTCCCCTAGCTCATGAAATAGTCTTTTCTAGTTGGTTTGAGTCAGTAGCCAAAAAAGATGCACACATTTCATTTGGTTGCTAATTATTGATTTATTTTTTTGAGGCAGAGTCTTGCTGGGTCACCTGGGCTAGAGGCCAAGGCCATAGCCTACCTCACAGCAACCTCTAACTCCTGTTTTCAAGCAATTCTCCTGCCTCAGTCTCCAGAGTAGCTGGAACTACAGGCCTACACCACCATGCCTGGCTAATTTTTCTATTTTCAGTAGAGATGGCGTCTCACTTTGCTCAGGGTGGTCTTAAACTTTTGAGCTCAGGTGATCTACCTGCCTTGGCCTCCCAGAGCACTGGGATTACAAGCATGACCCATAATGCCAGCCCTTCATTGGGTTGTTATAGCTCTTAAGACTCTGTTGGTGAGTTCTCTCATCAATTTTCTTTTCTTTTCATTTCTTCTTCTTTTTTTTTTTTTTCCTTTTTGGAGACAAAGTCTCACTCTGTTACCCTGGGTAGAGCGTTGTAGCATCATAGCTCACAGTAACCTCAAACTCTTGAGTTTGAGCAATCCTCTTGCCTTAGCCTCCCGAGTACCTAGGACTATAGGCACCCACCACAATGCCCAGCTAGTTTTTCTAATTTCAGTGGAAACCAGGTCTCACTTTGCTCAGGCTGGTCTCAAACTCCTGAGTTTAGGTCATCCACCTGCCTTGGCCTCCCAGAGTGCTAGGATTACAAGTGTAAGCCACTACACCCAGCCTCTCATCAATTTTTTTTTTTATGCCATTGACCTGACACAGAAATCAGGATAGTTACCCTTGAGTTCTAATCTTTCAATCTACCTCTGTAATCTCCGTGCTCCTCTCCCTCCCTCGGAGAGGAAGCTGACTTGAATAAGAAGATGTTATTATCTGGCACAGTATATAGACAGCCTGCTCCAGACAGGGCGGTGGCACAATCTGGCCCCACTTACACATATGCAGACCTTCCATTCTAACCAAACAGATGACTTAAACATTTCTCATCCTTCACATTTTCCCACCTCTTTGCTTCTGCTTTTCCCAGTTACCTTAAGAGCTGCTTAACATTTACTTACATGAAGACTCCATAGTTTATTGTGGAATGGCCCTCAAGTCTCACACTTCAAGTCACTTCACTGTGACCAGAACTGGAATTTCATTCCACTTTCCTATAACCCACAGTTGTCAACCAAATCCAGACCTTCAGTTCCTTGGCCCAGTGTTTCCCCTGATACCAATCTTCTCCTGGTCTTACTACCTTACTTATTTATTTACTTATTTTTGAGACAGAGTCTCACTCTGTTGCCCAGGCTAGACTCTTGTGGCATCATAGCTCACAGCAACCTCAAACTCCTGGGCTCCAGCGATCCTCTCGCTTCAGCCTCCCAAGTAACTGGGACTATAGACACCTGCCACAACACCTGGCTAGTTTTTCTATTTTCACTAGAGATGGGGTCTTACTCTTGCTCAGGCTGGTCTGGAACTCCTGAGCTCAAGGGATCCTCCCATCTCAGCTCCCAGAGTGCTAGGAATATAGGGAAGAGCCACTGCGCCCCGCCTACCTTCTCTCTCTCTCTCTTTTTTTTTTTGCAGTTTTTGGCTGGGGCTGCGTTTGAACCCACCACCTCCAGCATATGGGGCCGGCACCCTACTCCTGTGAGCCACAGGCGGCGCCCCCACCTACCTTCTCTTTTAGTCTAAAACTTCACTACTCTCTGGCCCTCAGCTCCCTGACCACCTGTTCCATTCCCTGTACAAATTCAGGGTGGATTTTCCTTGTCTTCTCTGCTCCTATCTACAGGCTGCCTAGAGGAAGGAGGTTAGGAGCACAGATTGCTCTCACTGGGATTAGCATATGTCTGCATCTCAGCTGGACCTCACGTCACCTGCTGGTCTCATCTCTGGTCAGCTCCTACCACTGGTCAAGTATTTTGTTAACAGTCCTTATTTGGGGATTTTTCCGATTTTTTTCTCATAATTCAACTGGGATTATGGGTTGTTTTTATCTCATGGCACACTTGAACCTATAGTTAAACTTCCTTGGCACACTTAAGCTATGTTGATCAAACAAAAGAGTAAAAATAAGAAAATACGGGCAGCACCTGTGGCTCAGTGAGTAGGGTGCCAGCCCCATGTACTGGGGGTGGCAGGTTTGAACCCAGCCCCTGCCAAACTGCAACAACAATAAAAAAAATAGCCAGATGTTGCAGCGAGCGCCTGTAGTCCCAGCTACTCAGGAGGCTGAGACAAAAGACTTACCTAAGACCAAGAGTTGGAGGTTGCTGTGAGCTGTGATGCCACAGCACTCTACTGAGGGTGACAAAACGAGACTCTGTCTTAAAAAAAAAAAAAAGAAAATACTTATTGCACTTTGAACTTCTTTCAAATATCATTTAATTAATGGTCTTTAAAATTTTTCAAGGCACATCTACGATCCTGTCATGGTACCCAGATTGAAACTCACAGGGTTATTGGCAGGAAGACCACAGAGGTAAAGTGCCATTTTTATCACACTGCATCAAGGGGACACTATCGGCATAACTACCGTGGTTAATGCTGACGTTGATCACCTAGCAAACTATGGAACCTTCGCATAAGGCCGAGAAGATGTGTCAGGTTCCCCTCCCGCTTTGCCATACTTTACTCTTCGGAAGGAAGCAGCGAACGCAGTCAACACTTACGGAGTAGGGAGTTAAGCTCCACCTGTCTGAGGGCAGAGTATCTACATAGGTTATTCGGAATTCTCCTGCATAGGAGATGTGTCTCTTCTCCTCAATTATTTATTTGATCATTTATTTACATCCGTATGGACATATGGATATTTACTTATTTTTTTTTTTAGATACACACAGAGTCTCACTTTGTCGCCCTCAGTAGAGTGCTGTGGCATCACAGCTCACAGCAACCTCCAGCTCTTGGGCTTAGGTGATTCTCTTGCCTCAGCCTCCTGAGTAGCTGGGACTATAAGCACCCACCACAACGCCTGGCTATTTTTTGTTGCAGTTTGGCTGGGCTGGGTTTGAACCCACCACCCTTGGTATATGGGGCTGGTGCCCTACTCACTGAGCCACAGGCGCTGCCCAATATTTACTTATTTTATACTATTTTATTCATTTTGTCACTAAAATTGTTCCATCTTTAGCTGTTGGGAACTCTAAGTTGCCTCTACGACCTTTTTATATGTCCCCATCAATCTAGGGGTTTTTGTTGTTGTTGGGGGGTTGTTTGTTGTTTGTTTTTGAGCACTTATTTTCCAGCACTACAGAATTCTCATCTCGTATGCTTCCTGCCCCACTCCTTGAATCAGCCATTCCTCTGATTATCCTTCGTACCTTTTCTTGGCGAATGGTGTTAGAAGCCCAGACATAGGACCTCAGTGTGCTCATTGCTATTGGGACGTTATTGTTTCTAAGGCTTTGAGTTGACAGAGCAAGGAAATATATGTGCACATATTATATTTACTCATGTATATACAATAATATTTCTATATGTAGCCATTTGTGTCTATATATATATATATTTTTTTTTTTTTTTTTTTTGAGACAGAGCCTCATGCTGTCCCCCTGGGTACAGTGCTGTGGCATCTCAGCTCACAGTAACCTCCAACTCCTGGGCTCAAGCGAGTCTCCTGCCTCCACCTCACAAGTAGCTGGGACCACAGGCGCCCACCACAACACCTGGCTATTTTTTGGATGCAGCCATCATTGTTGTTTGGCAGGCCCAGGCTGGATTTGAACCTGCCACCTTAGGTGTATGTGGCTGGCACCTTAGCCACTTGAGCCACAGGTACCAAGCCACTTTTGTGTCTATATTAAGCTAAACATGAGCTGGTCCTGATGTCTCCAACTATAATCCAGTACTACGTGAATCATCCTAGCGTCCTCTGCCTCCTACTTATGATCTCCCAGTCCAACAGTGAGAGAACTGACTTCCACCATCCACCATCCATCTACCCTTGAATTCTTTTTAAATTAATCCTTCCTCCACCCCCTGAAAATCACTACAAACCTACTCTAAGCTATTTTAAAACAGAAAAGGAATTTGTTAAGTGATATTAATAAATAGATTACATAAATTTTCATAAGAGCCCAGGAGTCGGGTCTGGAGATTATGCAGCCCGCACAGCTCCAGTAGTTTCTGCTACTGCCCCAAAGCCAGGACCACCACCACTACCCTCCCCACCCTCTCCACAGAGCCTGTTATTTGCACTGGCCTCTTTCTAAATGGGGCTTAGCTGGGCTTGTCTGACTGGTGGGAGCCTGTGTCAATTCCTGAGCCCTAGCCTCAAGGGAAAGTGAGCTTCTAGGGTGTCAAGATTCACAAGGCATAAAATTCCTCAAAGATTAGAGGTTGTTCAAAAACTGCTGGGTGGGCTTGGTGCCTGTAGCTCAGCTGCTAGGATGCCAGCCACATACACTGGAACTGGTGGGTTCAAACCCAGCCCGGGCCTGCCAAACAACGACAACTACAAAAAATAAAAATAAAAAATAGCCAGCCTTTGTGGTGGGTGCCTGTAGACCCAGCTACTTGGGAGGCTGAGGCAAGACAATTGCATAAGTCCAAGAGTTTCAGGTTGCTGTGAGCTGTGATGCCACAGCACTCTACCAATGGCGACATAGTGAGACTCTGTCTCAAAAAACAAACAGTGTTGTATGAAAGGAAAGAAGGTTAGCACTCCCCTTGACAAGGATGGAAGTAGGCCCTCGGGCCCTGACAACACACATACGGATAAGACATTGCCACCTACTTAGTGGCATCTAACCATCGTTTTTTGAAACTAATTTATAGCTTTCATAGGAAGGCTATAACCCAATTTTAGGCCAGGAATATGGGGAAAGGGAGGGGAAGGGAGGGTGGGGCGAGGGAGGGTGATTGGTGGGATCACACCTATGGTTCATCCTATAAGGGTACATGTGAATCTCTAGAAATGTAGAATATAAATGTCTTAACACAATAACTAAGAAAAAGACATGAAGGCTATGTTAACCAGTTAGATGAAAGTATACACTGTACCCCATGATAGTATTCATGTACACTGCTAGGATTTAATAAAAACAAACAAATAAACAACTGTTGAGTGGCCACTTAAAAAATTACAAAGTAGGGTTTTGAAGCTACACGCTCATCACCGAACCCAGGGCACTCGTCACATATATCCTGCTGGCCTCACTGTGCTATGAGGTGACCTATGGGTTCTTGTAGAAGAGGTTTTACAACTCCCACCCTGACTACTGTGACAATTCTCTTTCTTTTCCTCTGACTTCACTCATTGTTATTTCTCCATCCTCTCACAGGCCCTTCTTCCTACACACTTTTTATTTTTCAAAATTGTTCTTTGGCCAAGTGGCGTGGCTCACACCTATAATCCTAGCACTTTGGGAGGCTGAGGCAGGCAGGAGCAGAAGAGGCCAGGGGTTTGGGACCAGCCTGAGCAGGCAAACCGTGCCTCTAAAAAACAAACAAACAAACAACAGAAAAACTAGCCAGGCATGTGGCAGGTGTCTGTCGTCCCAGCTACTGGGGAGGCTAAGGCAGGAGAATTGCTTGAGCCCAGGAGTTAGAGGTTGCAGTGAGCTGTGATGATGCCACTGCACTGTAGCTGGGGCAACAGAGCAAGACCTATCTCAAGACAAACAAAAACAGTTATTTACTTATGGAATACGTAATTTATGCACATAATACATAACAAAAGGTAAAAAGGGGTATCTAATAAAAAGAAGACCTCCTCATCTACAATCCAGGCTGTTTTTTTCTCCAAAGGCTGTTTCCTATATTTTCTTCCAGACATATTCTATACATATATAATCAAAAATGTGCAGATTTTTTCTTTCCATAGACAATAGCCTACTTCACACTTTCTGCATTTTGCTTCTTTCATTTAACAATAAATCATGCAGCTGGCTCAATAGCAAAGCATGTACAACAGCCTCATTTCTTTTTCTTTTTCTGAGTATTTTCTTTTCTTTTTTTATTATTGGGGATTCATTGAGGGTACAAGAAACCAGGTTACACTGATTGCATTTGTTAAGTAAAGTCCTGCTCACAATCGTGTCTTGCCCCCAAAAGGTGTGGCACCCCTCCCTCCTTCTTTCTCTCTCTGCTCTACCCTTTCCCCACCCCCATCATGTCATTAGTTGTCCTCATATCAAAATTGAGTACATAGGATTCATGCTTCTCCATTCTTGTGATGCTTTACTAAGAATAATGTGTTCCACTTCCATCCTTTTTTTTTTTTTTTTTTAGAGCCAGAGTCTCACTTTATCACCCTCCGTAGAGTGCCGTGGCATCACAATTCACAGCAACCTCCAATGCCTGGTCATAAGCGATTCTCTTGCTTTAGCCTCCGGAGTAGCTGGGACTACAGGTGCCCGCCAGAACGCCCAGCTATTTTTTTGTTGCAGTTTGGCCAGGGCTGGGTTTGAACCCGCCACCCTTGGCATATGGGTCCAGTGCCCTACCCACTGAGCCACAGGCACCACCCAACAGCCTCGTTTCTATAAAGACTGCTATGTCTGGCTCGGCGCCTATAGCTCAATCGGCTAAGGCGCCAGCCACGTACACCTAAGGTGGCGGGTTCGAATCCCCAGCCCGGACCCGCCAAACAACAATGATGGCTGCAACCAAAAATAGCCGGGCGTTGTGGCGGGCGCCTGTGGTCCCAGCTACTTGGGAGGCGGAGGCAAGAGACTCGCTTGAGCCCAGGAGTTGGAGGTTGCTGTGAGCTGTAATGCCACGGCACTCTACCCAGGGGGACAGCTTGAGGCTCTGTCTCAAAAAAAAAAAAAAAAAAAAAAAGACTGCTATGTCTTCCATTGTATAAAATCTACATTCTTAATTAAGCTAATCCAGCATTAACACATGCTAATTTCCAATCTTCTGCTATTACAAACAAAGCTCCAGTAAATAAACTATAAACTTATATATCCATGATCTTATACCAGTGCCAGGAAATCTGCAGGAAAATCTCTTAGAAATAAGAATCCTGGGATATTTAAAATGTTGATGAATACTATCCAATTTCTTCTCATAAAAGTTGCACTAATGTGTGTTCCCACCAGCAACACATGTGATAGTGTGTCTTTCCCCAATTCCTTTCTAACGTAGTCACTAATGGATTATTTACCTTGGCCAATCCAACATGTGCGCCACGTCATCTCATTTTAGTTTGGTGTATCTTGTATTACGCATTAGGTAAAGCATCATTTCATGTGTAGGAACTATGTGCATATTTCCTCTTCTGTGGCTTGTCTCTTCATATCCTTTGCCACCTTCTGGATGGGAAGTTAGTCTTTTATATTGATTTATAGGAACTCTTTATGAAATCAGGAAATTGTGCACTTGGGTATCTGTTTCCCCAACTGGAATCAAAGACTGTTCCGTCCACGTTCATGGGTTCATGCAAAACAGAGAGCCTGGCAGATGACAGATATTCAAGAAATATACCTCTAGGCCGGGTGCAATGGCTCATGCCTGCAATCCTAGCACTCTGGGAGGCCAAGATGGGTGGATTGCTTGAGCTCAGGAGTTCCAAACCAGGCTGAGCAAGAGGGAAACTCATCTCTAGTAAAACTAGAAAAACTAGCCAGGCATCATGGCAGGCACCTGTAGTCCCAGCTACTAAGGAGGCTAAGCAAAAGGATCACTCCAGCCCAAGAATTTGAGGTTGCTGTAAGTAATGATGACACCACAGCAGAGTGAGACTCTGTCTCAGAAAAAAAGGAAAGAATCAGCTCCGTAGCCTAGCATAGTAGTTATGGCGCCAGCCACATACACCAAAGTTGGCAGGTTCAAATCCAGTCTGGGCCAGCTAAAACAACAATGACAACTGTGACCAAAAATAGCTGGGCACTGTGGCAGGTGCCTATAGTCCCAGCTACTTGGAAGGCTAAGGCAAGAGAATCACTTGAGCCCAAGAGTTTGAGGTTGCTATGAGCTATGACGCCATGGCACTCTACCCAGGGCAACATAGTGGGACTCTGTCTCAAAAAAAAAAGAAAAAAAAGAGACACCTCTACTGTGGAGTTTTCTTGTGTGTTTATTTTTAGAACAGCAGAAGACTGAACTAGCTGTCCTTGAGAACAGTCTGGATGGCTGTTGGTTCTTAAAGAAGGGTGTAATTTTATTTTTATTTATTTTTTTGAGACAGAATCTCACTATGTCACCTTCAGTAGAGTGCCGTAGCATCACAGCTCACAGTAACCTCAAACTCTTGGGCATAAGCAATTCTCTTGCTTCAACCTCCCAAGTAGCTGGGACTATAAGTACTCAGCTATTTTTTTTGTTGTTGCAGTTGTCATTATTGTTTAGCAGTCCTGGGCTGGGTTCGAACCTGCCTGCCTCAGTGTATGTGGTTGACGCACTAATCACTGAGCTATGGGTGCTGAGCCAGGGGGTATAATTTTAAAAAGCTTCTTCAACAAACTACTGCTTTCTTTTTTCCTTATAAGTATTAAAGAAAAGCCTAAATAAGTCTTTCCAGATGAGTAGATAAGTGTCATATGGGGCCAAAACCAAGCTCAGCAGCCAGCAGAGACACTGTACCAGGATAGATTATGATCCATTGTTCTCCCTATAGCTTTTGAATGGTTTTTCATCTTTGAAGGTCACAATCCCTTGGTAATTTGATAATTATAGACCGTCGTTGTAGAAATACTTGCATAAGGTGAAACTTTGCACTTACAATTTCATGGAGTTCACAGGAGCCACGCAGCCCAGCCACAGGTCAGCAGGTTGAGGGTTTGTAGCCGGGGTGTGCAGCAAGTGTGCAGATTCGCGAAATCCCATGCGCCCTCGTCCCACGTCCCACCATGTGCCCTCGGCTTGTGAGCCCCTCAACTGTCAAATGAAACTTAACAATGTTACTTGCCTGACGGTACTGCCGTGAGGACCCAGTGAAACGCTGCATACGAGGTGCTTAGCCGAGTGCCTGCGCCTGGTCCTGCTAGATAACTTCACACTGATTTTTTCATTTTTTATTTTGGCTTTTGGTGAAACAGAGTGTCACTCTGTCACCTAGACTAGAGTGCATCAGACTAGCTCACAGCAACCTCAAATTCCTGGGTTCAAACCATCCTCCTCCCTCAGCCCCCTGAGTAGCTGGGACTGCAGGTGCCCAACACCACACTCGGCTAATTTTTCTATTTTTAGCAGAGATGGGGTGTCACTCTTGCTCAGGTTGGTCTTGAACTCCTGAGGTCAAGTGACCTTCCCACTGTGGCCTCCCAGCATGCCAGGATACAGGCATGCACCACCGAGAAAAGGCAACTATAACTCAGTAGCACATCTTCGAAGAATCCCAGGCTAAGAAAACCATCGCTGTCGGAGTGGGAGTCCCAACAGTGCTGCTACACTCCCCACCCCCGGCAAAATGCCCTGTCACGCTCACCCTGATGTGGACCCAGTGTCTCCACCCTATTTGGCAGAACCCAGCAGACATAATACACCTTTTCTAAAGCTTTACTCAGAGTCCAGTGCTCATCTCGGTCCCTCTCTCTCCCAGTGTCATCAAATGCTGTAACAGCATTATATGGAAGTTTCCTTAAAAACCAAAACAAAACATTTGCAACCAATCCCGAAGTGGTTTACCTCAGTGGACTCCTAACGCAAGTGGACGAGAGGCACCCAGAGAGGACTTCAAATTCTAAGACACCAGTCAGCACACAGAGCATCTGAGGATAAGGCTTTGAGCCAAAATTCTACAGAAGAGCCTTCCTGTGGGTTTTACTAGCAGGAGCATAATAGAAATGGAGTCTCAGCCAAGCTGTTGGTCCCAC